TTCCTTGCATGGTATATCCTTGCATGATATAATAAATTGCTTGGGGTTGCTTGACACACTTGCAAATTCAAGATAAATTTTATTATATTATATATCTATGAAGTGTTTGCATAAGCTTCTGATTATTATATTTTCATGTGTTATTAGATGGAATGATGCAATGCTGCATAATAGCTTTAACAAAAGAAAACTGCCATGTTATTGATTTTAATGTGATTGTTAAAGAGATGCCTAATGGCACTTAATTTTGCTGGATTATGCATAATCCAACATAGTAAAAATATTTCCTTGTCACTGGTTGCTTTACCATGTTATGGTTTTCAGCCAATATAGTTCAGTAGAGCAATCCTAGCTATTTTATTGTAGTTTCAACCAAACCAGCTCTTTTTGGGGAAGGTGGATGAGTTTTAGCCACTATAAATCTTTTTAAAGTGCCATATAAGTAGAAACAGTTTCAGGAAGCTTCCTTACAATAAAATTCTGATTTTTATATTTTATTTCAACAGTGCAGCTCTAAAATGTCATAAAAGTATACTTATTGTAACTAAATTCAATTTCAAGCCTGGCATCGGCTTATAAATCAAAGTAACTGAAATTGCCGTTTTGGTTTAGTATTTACCCTTAACCGAACTGCTACAACTGCTTCTATTTCATAATCCAGTAACACTGGATTCAGGATACAAGGTCAAGCATTAATACTATTTGAGCAAATGCATACACAATGTGAAAACACTCTTAGATATTTCAGACCTGTTCTTCTGTCTTGTATAAACAGTTTGACTACTCAGATATAAAATATCCTGGAATATATTCTGGGGAAGTGCTTGAGATTTTTTTTTTTGTTAATTAGTTCACAAGATTTTCAGTAGAAGCCAAAGTTACTATCTCTGAAACATCACACAGGACAAAAATGTAGATAAAAGGAACAACTTAACCCTTTTCCTCCTCTTGTATAATAAACCATCAGATGAGTTTTAACTATAAATTACTATTTTCTCAGATTATGATATCTATACCAAACATATAGTAGTTTGAGAACTGCTTACTATATCATTTCACTATATGCTAAATGACACATAATACAGAATTATTGAGGGAGGTATTAATTAGGAGTATTAATTAATGATTAAACTGCTTCTTAATTTTTTTCCACTCGGGATCCCTCTGATCCATGCAATTTTTATATGACCCTGGGTATATAAGTATATAAAATAGGTATAAAATCAAATATTTACTGATAACAAATCAGCATTTGCAAGGCTTGCTAAAAAGACTGATTTTCCTTTTTGTGGAGTATATCTGAAGCATTTTCTGCAGAGTTCACTGTAAAGACTGCACAACAGATTCCTATAAATGTCTAAAACAGCCACTAGGTGACACTCAGAAACTTTTACTGTTGCCACATTTTTGGGACCCCAACCTTGAGGTAGAGGATCCCATTTGGGGTCAGGACCCACAGTTTACGAAGCATTAGGAAAACTAACATAAACATTGGGTTGAATGCTCAGGGCAATTTCACACAGCCATATTATCCAGAACTGCAGGCGGAAAATCCCACAATATCTGCTTTGAACTGGGTTATCTGAATCCACACTGCCATATATTCCAGTTCAAAGTAGAAAATGTGAGATTTTATCCAGCTGTGTGGAAGGGGCCTCAAAGGACTGTTAATGTCTCAGATTCTTCTTCTCCAGAAGAGGGTCAGACATACTTTGTGCGGTAAAAGAGTTCCAGTACAAAGTAATAGCACACCTTTAGTATGGTTCCCAGCTGTGCGTATCTAATTCCTCTGTGCTATTCTTAGTGTCCCACTGCCTTCATAATGACTTGCTTAGAGGAGAATCTGGAATGGTCCCCCTTGAGGCATGTCCTTGGTTCTGCATAATTACCCACTGGTTTAAATTGAATCTTACTCTTTCTGTTCTTGATTCTAATTCACAACTTCTTCTCTGCCAGGTTGAAGGCTGTTGAACTGAAATAACAATAGTATAGCTTTTTTCCCTTTAGGTATGCTGTGCTTGGGATTTCCTAAGGCCAAAGAAACAAGCAGGCAACAGAGAAGACAGGAAGACAGAGCAAGAACTCAACCCTATCTTGTTGCAGGCAGCCATACGACAGGATTTGTTCTATGGAATTATCTCTATATGCTGGAAATTTATAAATACCACTGACCTTTTATTCTTGCTCATTTCAGAGTTTTATCATCAGATCTACTGAATGGGATATATTTATGAATATCTTATACTCAGTATTGTTATTCTTACTGGGCAGGCATAGTTGAAACAGTTGATCATGTCCTGCTATACTGTCTGCATTATAAGGGTATTCATTCTGAATTTATAGATGTAATCTTGGAAACATTCTCAAGCAGATCTAATAGCTTTTACATTTTCCTTCTTTCAGATTCCTTTGGAGAATCTATGTTGAAGGTTGCAAAGTTCTGTACTAGTAGGAAGAAGTTGGTGAAATCCCATAAAGACTACCTCTAACCGTAGTAAATGCCATCCCAAGTATGTGGTTTGAAAGTTTTAAAAAGTCCCTCCCACTCCTGCCAAAATTCTGTTCCATTAACAGCAGCTATATTCGATAATTGCAAATATGCCTGACATGGAAATACCATGTTCCACTTTCCCCACAAAAGATGAGGAGTCTGCTAGACAAAAGAGAGCAGTCCTAAATTCAGAACTATAGACATGGCTGAAGACAAAGGGATTCAAAGCTAGAAATGGTCTATTGAGACATAATATTGAACCCAAATACCGGTGAACTGAGTACCAAGTATGGGATATCAAAAATAGGAGGAGGGGAAGAAATAGTTAGAGCATCATAATATGCCATTAAAAGTGCTTTCCAGTTTCTGAAAGATAAGAAAAATATAGCAATTGCTTACGTATTTATGCAATCTAATGTGCCATCGAATCTAATGCGCACCTCAATTTTCAAACCCCTGAAACCCAAAACATTTTTTGCTGCTGAATGTAACACTCAGCAGAAAAAAGTGCATTCTTTATTATTTAGAACAGGGGTCCTCAAACTAAGGCCCAAGGGCCGGATACAGCCCTCCAAGGTCATTTACCCAAACCTCACTCAGTGTCAGCCTAAATATGAAACAACTTGAAAGCACACAACAACAACAACAACAACAACAACAACAACAACAATCCTATCTCATCAGCCAAAAGCAAGCCCACACTTCCCATTCAAATACTAATATGTTCATATTTGTTAAAATTGTTCTTCATTTTAATTGTTGTATTGTTTTTAAGTGTTTTTTACACTACAAATAAAATATGTGCAGTGTCCAAAGGATTTCATTCATCATTTTTTCAAATTATAATCCGGCCCTCCAACAGTTTGAGGGACTGTGACCTGGCCCTCTGTTTAAAAAGTTTGAAGACCCTTGATTTAGAACATCAAAGCTTCCAGCAATGGAAAAGAAAACCTTGTGGGTCATCTATGCCGTAGAACGAATCTGCTTTAATTGTCTTGATTCAATGTTATGGACATCATTTACAGCAGCGGTTCTCAACCTGTGAGTCCTCGGGTGTTTTGGCCTACAATTTCCAGAAATCCCAGCCAGTTTACCAGCTGTTAGAATTTCTGGGAATTTAAGGCCAAAATATCTGGGGACCCACAGGTTGAGAACCACTACTTTACAGAGTCTTGAACCCTCCCTGTCAAAGAATGCTGATGACTGACCAAACTACAAACTACAAACTCCATGATTGCATATTACTGAGCCATGGCCATTAAATGAGAGATGAAATCTCTCAAAGAGGAGCTCTGGGCACTCCTGAAGCAGCTTCCCTTTTGCTTTGGCTCAGCACTAATATTACCGCTATTTGTGACTCTAATGGACACCCTAATTTTGGCAAGGTCATTTAGCCCAAAGTAGGTGAACATTTGATTTGTGTAAATAGTAGTTAAAACAGAACTGAAGACAACTGCATTAAAAACGCTCAAACATCATTCTGAAAATTGTCTTTTCTATGTAAGAGAATGACTTAAACAAACATCTACTTCTTTACCATTCCTGATATGACTTATCGGATATTCCTCCTCCTTCTTTTTCCACACTTAAAGCTCTATGTAAGGGTGAATTATTATAATATGCCCCAAGCCTCACAATCTAGAAACTGCATGATAAATAAATACCTACAGTTCTGTTGCTTTGGGAATAATGGAGAATGTACATTTTATAGCTGTGCTGTTGTACATCCCTGAAACAGCAACAGGGTCATAAGGACTGCCATAGCACTGCAGCACAGGAAACTTCCTTCTTTGCCTATCTCATTTATTAAATATGGGCAAGGAAATAAGTGTCAGGGAATGTTATTTTCCACAGATGGGTCTACACCTGATCTGAAATGGATTCAAGGAAGAGGACAAACCAATACAGATGGACAGGGACCTGGGCATTTGGGGAATGATAATGCATCTCATTGCTTCTCTTTCTTCCAGGTACTTATAGCAGCATCTATTCATTCAAACCTGATCTCTGTAATCAACTTTCTCATGATTGCTATAATCCTAATGGAGAAAAGGGAGAAAAAACCTTCTGGATGTTAGAATGAGATTAAATTATGTAAGCAATTAGATGAACTATGTTTACCTGCATTTTCGCCTGATCACAGTTTTTGAACTACACAGAAACATGAGAGACTGAAGTCACCTTCTTCATCTCACTGCTGTATTTATTTACCAAAACATTTAGATGTCAGGGAGGCAGCTGAGAGCAAGAGGGTCGAGATTTTTCTGGCTCAAATATAAGAAAGAAGAAGACCAGATTCAAAAATAAAAATAACCCTAAGGGACAGAATGTTTATCTTAATACAAAGCATTTCAATTTGTCATGCATGCTGCATCCTAAATTTTCAATCTGAATCCCAAGGCACAGGCAGCAATGTTTACAAAAAGAAAGGGAATGTCAGGACCGGATTTAAACAAATGCCATTCTTCATGTAGGAAGAAACAATGGAAAGAAAGAGACCTCTCCTCACCTTTGCATTGTAGGGTATATAGTGCTTTGATAAAGCTTCAGGAGTGTGCATCCATGTTTTATCTGCAAAAGGAAAAACACACAATTTTAGCCTTACTAGTTCTCATGTTACTTATGTATGGTGCTTCTGATTAGGCATTTCAGTCTTGTTCATGGAATGAAAATGCTGAAAACAAATTTAGAGAATTCTATATGTGTAACTATCATATAACAATTGAACGGCGCTCCATGCAGTCATGCTGGCACATGACCTTGGAGGCGTCTACGGACAACACCGGCTCTTTGGCTTAGAAATGGAGATGAGCACCACTACCCCTCCACCCAGAGCTGGACATGACTAGACTTAATGGGAATCTTTACCTATATGTAGCAATCATATACCTAAAAGAAAGCTACTTGTGTTGGCACAAGTACTGTATGTAGAGAGAGATTTCCAAGGAACTGATTACCCCTGAATTTAGATGGAGCTTCCTTGAGCATATCAACTGCATCATATATACTGCATAAGTAACAACTGGAAATGTTTCATTGACCTTTAGTCCCAATTGGTCTTAACCAGTCTAGTGAATAGTACAAGTCATGAGACTTATAGGTCAATAACATCTGGGGATTAATTCCTCATTCACAGTTGAAATCAACCTCATTTAACATTCTAAGGTAACCCAACTTTATCGCAGTGAAACATTACTTATCCGAGAATTCAAAATATTCCAAAATCGAAAACTATCTACATGGATGGCTAAGAGAGGGAAACTTTTGCTTTCTGTTGGTTCAATGTTCACAAAATTTGTTTCATGTAAAAATTATAAATATTGTACAAAATTACCTTAAGACTATTTAATATGTTTATAAAACATAAATGAATGTTGTATTCAGACTCAGGTATCACATTATGTACATATATGCAAATACAGGCAGTCCCTGGGTTATGTACAAGATAGATTTGTTTTAATTTGAATTTGGAAGTATGTTGCAACATATTTTTTTAGTTTTCACAGGGAAGGGGTAAGACCTCTGTAATGTTTGACCATTTGTACACCAGTTCAGAAGACTTCACCTCACTTTCTGTCCCTGTGACAATTGGATTTTGAAAATTTTGGGTTGCTGTGGAAATAATGAGTGCAGATATAGTTTCAGTAGAGACACCCTTTTCCCGTGATAACTCATACAGGAGTGAATTTCCCTTTCTTGGGGTAGATTATCTCTCACTTCCTGTTGTATCACCATCTTTTGTAATTAGGAATCATATGTAAGTTGGATTTTTGTAATTCAGGGACTGTCTGCGCCACTATTCCAAAATCTAAAACATTTCTAATCCCAAGCATTTTGGATAATGATACTGAACTTGTATTCTCAAACTATAGATGGGACAACTGGATGAATGTTATACCTAACATAATGGAAAACTCGGAAGCTATGATATTTGGCTGGTGATCAACAGCCATCTACAGTACCAGCCGCTGTTACAAAGACTGGAATCCCACACAAAGTATCTGTCGAGGAAAATCTATTGGAAAAACCCAAACTATTTATCCCTGTGTTAAAAATTTCACAAGTTTTACTAGGATTAGTATTTCAGACCGACTTTTTAATCTTTATCTGAAATTGAAATACATGGTATCTGTTGAGGTTCAGCCTGAGTTTGAACTTGAACCTGATTCTCTGTTTGTTCCTCCTGATGCTAATGAAAGTATATTTACTGATGCTAGTGGAAATGTACCTTTTGATGCCAATGCTCCTGAAATTAGTGAGGAAGAAACTGCTGTAGGTTTGGAAAATGCCAATGTTCCTGAAATTAGTGAGGAAGGAACTTCTGTAGATTTGGAAAATGAAAGTACCAGTGTTCATGAGAATGTTTCAGAGGGAGACTTTGAACTTTCCCTCCCTTCTGCACCTGTTAACTGTAATGACAACAGAAGGGGCCAAATTTGGGAAGACAGAAGTAAATCACTCAGTTTGCGTCGATCCTCCCGAATTCAAGAATTAAAAACATTGGCTTTAAAAAAGAAGGGCGGTTCACGGAATCAATTCTTGAGCTTTAATTGCAATACTCCGGGCTGATTGTCTCAGTTCAGGCATCGTTTCAGAATTGATGAAGACCATGGCACTTCTCCCGGTTCCCTGGCCATAGTTTGGGAAGATTTCTAGGATATCAAGTACGGTTAGTGGATTGCTAACAGATTCCAGTATTTCCCAGTGAGGCTTTTGGTTTTGCTTTGTCCATTTAAATTCATGTTTGCTGATTTTGCTGTGGCTTTTGACTTGCATTTTTCCTTTATTTTGTAACCATTTTTCTTCAATAAAAAAGGATTGTTTTTCACAGCCAAGTGTGGTGGATAGTTATCTTAGGGCCTCGTTCCCTGCTCTGGATTGCAACAGTATCTAATTTATGTACAACAGAAAATGATTTCTCTATGAATTGCCAGGATGGTGTAGTTCTCTTTTCCCTTCATTGTCATCCTGCTTCTAAGTTTATGCAGTGATCCTTTGCAAGGTTTTTTAAGGAGAAAGGTTCGTGGTTTCTAGAGATGGCACATGCTGAGAATTTCACTCAAGTCAAGGTAACCTAGCCGAATGAGTGGTGAGTCTACATTCTTTCCACTGATGATGTGTTATTAGGGAAGGCATGTCCCACCTGCTTCTGCCTCCTAACTCATTAATCCTATCTCTCCAGCCTCAATGGCTGGCTCCATCCTGACTGCAGCATATGAAAATTGGGTAGACTAGCTTCCTACACTTTCTTTTGATCCGACATTGTATGTTGTCAGTTGGGTAACTGTCATGACAATCTATGAAATGGTGCCCTGGTGGAACATTTTGTATTCTAACACACTGATTAGAGAAGCAAATATATCTGATAGGAAGAAAAGTTCAACATGTGTCATATTGTAAGACTTCATCAGATAGTTTTATTTGCTGCCTGCTCAATAATGCTGGATAATGATATTTATTTCCATTTCCAATTTCATTGCATATTTCAAAATGAAAAGTGCTATGCAGCTTTAAAGATTTTTCACTCACATTTCTTATATCAAGCTGGGGAGAGTTTTAACATTTTACTACCTTCGGTTTTTAAAAAGGCATTTTATTTGAATGTATCCCCATATGTATTATCCATTGTTCTGCATTCCTGAATGTTTTGGTACTTAATTCATTGTTGCTTCATCTTTTAATATAACTGGGAAGTTAATTCACCAAAGGGGAAAATCAATTCAAAAGTGTGTGTGTGTGTGTGTGTGTATTAAAAAGCAGTATTTTTCATATAAATATGCCCCCAGGGGTGCAGTGGGTTAAACCACTGAGCTGCTAAACTTGTTGACAAAAAGTCACAGGTTGACAAAAAGTCACAAAAAGTCCCCGAATCCGTGGAGCGGTGTGAGCTTCCGGTGTCAGCCACAGATTCTGCCAACCTAGCAGTTCAAAAACATGCAAATGTGAATAGATCAATAGGTACCCCTCCAGTGGGAAGGTAACAGCGGCCCATGCAGTCATGCTGGCCACATGACTTTGGAGGTGTTTACAGACAATGTCGGCTCTTCAGCTTAAAAATGGAGATGAGTACCAACCCCCAGAGTCGGACACGACTGGACTTAATGTCAGGGGAAAACCTTTACCTTTACCTAAGTGTGTGTGTGTGTGTGTGTATTTAAAAATTACATCTTGCATCTATTTTCAAAATATTGCCACATAAATTTGCTTGATTATTCTTGCATTTGATAAATGTGCCCTATTTTGTTTCTGGCTTTCTCATTATATTTTGACAGCAAGAATTAATTGCTTTAGGAAATATTTTCTCATCCCCAAATATGAGGTTCACAAAGAAAACAAAATCTAAACAGCAGGGGGAAAAGCAAAGATGCTTCATATATTTAACGACAGTGAACCTTAATGGTATCTCCAATATTCCTTTGCTCCCTGAAATAGAGGAAGACTTGCTCACCATGACATTCCCATCATTGCCTGCCCTCTGATAGATTATTTCTCAGAAACAGCTATAAGGGAGGAGTGCCTGGAATATCACCTGTAATGCTCCAAAGTTTGAAACTGAATTGTATGGTAGTGTAGATCAAGTCAAAGGCAGCTGGAGGGATATCGGCTTATTGAGACATAAGGCGGATCTACATTGACCGCTTATCTCAGGGATAATCCAGAGTGGTGAACAGTGGATCAGCCCTGGGATGGTTCAGATCATCATTCCCCCAGCTACTGTGGAGGTGAAAGGGAGTCCTGATCATACATCTGCTCCAAATTGGGTATGGTACCACTGGATGACCATCTTTACCACCACAACCCCTTATTGTTTTTTGTTGTTGTTGCAGCAGTCAACAGGCGCAACATGGGTTGTGTCTGCCACCTATCACTTGCAGTGACATTGGCTGGGGCACCAGAGCAACATAGGAGATGGAAGAGGAAGAATTGCTCCCTTTTTCCCCCCCTCCCTTCTCCAATTAACTCACTGCTCTGGCCATTGTCACTCCAGGTGATGAGCCACAGACACATGTTATGACTGCTAGCTGCTGCAACAAGGAGAAACTGGGGAGGCTATGGTGAGTGCCATCCCATCCCCCAGGGCGGTCTGAACCTGGGGATTACAGGATGGCCATGTAACCAGTTGTAACCAGTTCCATCTCAGAACTTTGGTTTACTTCAGATTCTTGGGGAGAGTTCAGAGCAATCCACAACTTTGGTTAATGCTGTTCAAGGCTGTGTTAAGGTGGTCTTGACCTGCATTAAGCCAAAACAGCTCCCTGTGCTTTTCTTTAGCAACCATAGAGCTAATTCACTTGCCATTTGGGATAAGTGATCAGTGTAGATTTACCCCACAGGAGCCATCATATGGAAATGATCTAAATGACCTTCTGTACATTTGTACTTTGCATTTCAGGTGGGCTATTAAAATGTTTCTGACCATGCTGATATCAGCCTGGAAATTTTCAGACATAAACTTCGATATTTAAAAACAATAATGTAAAAGTTCTTAAGATTTAAAAACCTAAAAGGAGTTGACTACTAAGGTATAACTGCCATCCAATAGATAGTAGGAAGTTTGTTTGGTATTTTAA